GTGGATGACTCAATTGAAATATGATATTTTTGGTTTAATGGTAGGCAAAGGAACATCATTTTTCTATCATACTACTCTAGAGGGAAGCATTTCTCTGGAGCTGGCTGCTGCCTTGTGTAGATGCAGCTACCACATGGAGCATCTCTGTGCCATGCTCACTGACACATCGGTCTGCCTGAACACACCAGCACCAGAAACAGACTGAGGGAACACCCAAAGGGAAACCACAGAGCATCTAAAAATGCCAGGAGAAATCACAGTTTGCAGAACATCATCTTTTCCTGGGAAAACCTTCATAGCTCATCAGCACGCCTCAACTAGCAGGCACGGGAGGATCATGCCTAATTTAGTTTTGCAAGTATGTCACTGGGCATTGGAATGGAAACTTACCTAAAGTTTAAGACATTGAAAGAATTTAGAAGATCACAACCTTTAAACATAAGAAATGCAAAACAAAACTCACTGTAGGTGCCCCAGCTCCAGCCCTCTTGGAACACAGGAACTGCAGGGGGTGGCCGCCTTCTCCCAGCTAGGGCTCGTCTCTACTGGTGTCAGTGACGTGAGAGAGGCATGCAGCTTTTGAGGTGAATCAAACCATCCTAAGTCAGGAATTTAGTGTCATTAATCTCATCCTGAAAACAGGCTCCTCCATTCTTGTGGGATGAGTTTTAGAGCTTAAAACAGGTGAACCTAACCTCATCTTTGTAACTCTTCCCAATTAGAAAGCTTTGAAAGTAGCCTGCAATTGTAAATGCATTTTGGGTGGCAATCATCTCCCGTCTTTAGGACACTCAGAAATTAGATATCCAAGCCTGAAATAGTTGCTTCAGGGTTTCTTTGTCATCAGTGGAGGAAAATGGGCACCTCTGGTGGGAGACATTTTAGGAGAGCTGGTAGGCTGCTTGGCTGAATCATCCTCTGGAAATGCTCATGTCTTCTGAAAAGGCAGGTCACTGCTAACAAAAATAAGAAAAAAAATGCTTTTTGGGAATACAGAGACTATTTTATGAGCTAGAAATGCAAGGGCTTGCTAGCAGGTGGAGAGCCTAGGGTGATTTCAGTAGTTGCAGTTGCACTGCTAAAAGCATTGGACAGAAGTGCAAGGGAGGTGAGTCCCAAGCTGACTTACATATGTGCCAAGCAAATAAAATCCCACAAGTTTTTTGATCTTGGAAAAAATTATGATTGTGACTCCCAGAGCAGTCCCTGCGGATGGGACTTTGAACACTGTCCAATCAGGGTATTTGCACAGCAGTGGACATTTGATGCAACTTCACAGGACTGACACCTGAGCTAAGGTGTCTACCTAGGAGCTGGCTACCTAGCTCTTGGAGGGTGGAGCGAGAGAGACGATGATAGAGATTTCTGTATATACATATACATAGAGAGAATTCAATTGGACCAGCATGGAAGGACCTGCTAAAGCTCACTTTTTGCTCCAGCATACAAGTTAGAAGAGCAAAGAAATCAGTATGGTTGCATGAGACAAACTAATTTTCTCACTGAAACCACTGGGCTGGTGGATGGGAGGAGAAGCTGACATGCTGCACCATGCGTAATTCATATTTCCAGTTACTACAGGCTGAGTCTGTGCTTGTGCACTACAGATTTAGGAATTTATGTTGGTAAAACAGCAAAGCAGTTTTATCTGAAATAGATATTTCTCTATCAGAAGTTCATTGGAATGTGGCATAATAATTCAGTTTTGTGCCCAGGTACTGTGTAGGTGTAGCTAGTGGGGAGTGTTGGTTGCCTTATCACTCAATAAATACATTTTTGTTAGCTACATGCTAACCCATGTGTAGGTAAAAATGGTATATGCTTTACTTTTATGGATAATGTAGTGTTAACTTGGTCAAAATTTTCCTAGCTTTTCATTATTAAATTGCGTGCAAAGTCCATAAATAGCAACAAGAAATGAAAGAGTGCTTCACACTCAACATCTTGCTGGATGAAGAGTTTTGCTGGATTGGAAGTGTTCTGGGTTTGCTTTTGTATCACTCTCAACACAGTATTAACGAGGTAGCACTACAGCTTCAGATATGCATGTGACATCTTTTAAACCTAAGTAATCGTATTAATTTGTCATAGCGCTCTGCAATTTCATAAGGAAAGAAGACAAATTAAAGGATATTCATTTCTACTGACAGAAAATACATATCATGATATTTTTGAAAAGAACATATTTTTAGATGCAGAACACACATAGATGCAGCTAATTATACAACTTTCTTGCAAAGTTATGTTTCATTTATTTCTGAGTAGTCTCTTTAATTTTTATAGGCCTACACGCATGTTGGAGCCTTAGGGGGCCTATATATACCAGCCAAAATGTATAAAACAGCTCAGTGCTGTATATGCTGGTTACAATTTCTCTTTTAAAAATAGATTCCTGGGTTAGAAAAGGGGATAGAACTGAACTATTGAAACTAAAAGAGAACATAGGCTTGAGAACAAATGGACATAAACTGCCGATGAATGTGTTTAGACTGGAAATTAGAAGAATGTTCTTAACTATCAGAAGGTGAAAGCATCCTTCTAAGAGTAAAAAGAGATACAGAAGATGTAACTAGCTGTGAAATGTACCTCGGTTGGTTTAGCACAATCTTATGATGTGATTCCTTGTGGCAGACAGCAATTGAGTATGATGACCCAGGAATTCTGATCCAGCATTTTCTGGTTCTAGAACAACATAATAAGTACTCTTTATGTAAATAACCCCCTTAGTTCTTCACAAGGCATGCTTGGATCCACAGTAATCACCACCGAGTTCATTATGTTCAAGCATTTGGACATGAAAGCTGTGAGCTAGAACCAGGTGCCCTTCAGCAGAGGTAATTGGGCTGGTGGAAATCGTTGATGACCTGCAGTGACTTCGCTGGGAGGCGGGAACATGAAAGTGCTTGTAACGTGTCCCTGAGCAGCATCAAAGAAGACATGTTAATCAAAGGGGGAACAAAAGAGGGCAGAAGAATGACTGATCTGTGAAAAATACTGTGTCTTTCTTGTTAGCTGGAAAGTCAAATTACAGCAAATGTCCTCAGTGATCACAGACTTTGAAAGCCTGGGAGATGACATAAAGTGAAAAGTGGTTGTGAAACAGGTAAATTAATGTCTAGATGCACAAGTGGTAATGCTGGAAAGAAAATGAAAGTGATGGTACCTGATTCTTGAAGATGTCAGGTGTTTATACCCCAAGAGTAAATATTTAAATTTAAATTGAAAAATATTTGAATTTTGCAATGAAAATTATTCCAGAATTATGAGAAACACATTACCCCTCTGATGCAATGAGTATACTATTCTCCTGCACAGTGCTAATAAGGGCCCATGTGGGATTTACTGTGGAGGGAACACCCTGGACTTGAACCTCCCACATCCCACAGGCATGGAGCACCTTCACAGGCTGAAGCTATGGTGAAGATTTTCCTCAGGACAGAGAAATTTGGAAATGCTATCAGTAGCCCTTCCACATATCCAGTAAGTTTCATTAAAAGCTGAATAAAATTTCATTATACTACAGTAACCTCTAAAAATTATATTAGGGTACTCATAGGCATCATTAATGTCAGAAACAAGAGGCTGGACTTGAGGGCCATCAGCCTGCTCAGCTCCACTGCCTTTTGCTCTTGCCACGGGCTAGGGACAAGCACTGAGAAAGCAATCAAGGGTTCTCTTGTTTCTCACGGTCTGGCTTGGAATTAGATGCTTCTTATGACTGCTATTTCACTAGTTGTTTGGTGGCTGCAGAGCTACTGCTTCAGGAAAGCAAACAGATGGTTCTTTCCTCACACCCAAAATATCCCAGTGTCCATTATTCAGGTGCCACAGGACTGCAGCAAAACAAGGCAGTTGCTCGTGCAAGATGGTACACTCAGAAACAGAGAGCTGCTTCTGGTCATGTCAAACTTGGGTGTCTCATGGTCTCCATATAGAAGTTGTGAAAATTCAAAGGTATTATTGCAATAGCTTCCTGGGATGTTCTTCAAGCAGAGATTAGAGAGGGCTTTTCAAGAATCAGCAAAGAAACAAGAGAAAAGTAGTGTCCATGAAGTACATCATAAACTGCAGAAGCCATCCTCTGTAAGGACCGAGATTGCCAAAACCAACTCACATTGCAATTACACAGCTAAATCTTCCACCCATCTTCACAAACTTCAGGCAGACATGGGATTCAGAGACTCCTCTTGAATTTTAGAATTTTCTCTTCATCTGTTGGAGGGAGCTGTCTCTTTTGTGACTTTTCTGCCTTCCTTTTCTTTGGAGGTGCTTTCCTGTCAGGGCTGGTCTGGCCAGGGGGAGCTGCAGCACCCCCAGGGGGGGAACGTGGCAGCTACACAAGGCTGTTGGGGGAGCCCATGAGCTGGGACCTGTTCGGAGTTACCTCCCCTCCCACATTATCACCATGTAGGGGGCTTCTCTGTCACCCCACAACCTTCCACCTGGACTAGCGGAGCAAGGACAAGCAGCTCCACGGGGCTGTGGAATTTCAGGATGGGTCCTTTTGGCCACGTCATGGGCATGCCCAGGGAGGGTGTCTGCTTCTGTTCTGCAGCAAAGCACAGTGTACCTTGATGGGGGGGTATATTTGAAGGGGTGACGCAGCATGGCAGTGGAACTGGTGCAGAAACTCCTGGCTCCATCCTGTACCCGCTGCTTGGGTGAGAGGTGGTTGCAGGATGTTGCCTCTCTCCTGTCAGCTTAGCACTTAGCTTCCCTCCAGAGCATTTTAGGACTGTGCTAATTCCCTAAATTTAACTAGTGATGTCAAAGGCTCATGTTAGCTCCCTGCACCAAGTCCTGTGCCCACACATGCCAACGTGAGCCAGGAATAACTCCACCATCACATAGATTTTAATCATGTCCCAAGCGATGGCACCCAATGTCCAGTTTTGTAACAGAGAGTCGTGAAGCTTTCCTGTGCAGGTGGATCAGCCCCACAGTTGGGGGTAAGGAGATGCTGGGGATGGGAAAACTCACAGCAGGAGAGCTGGATACAGCTGCCAGTGCAAGAAGAGACCTCTTGAGGTAAGCTGGAAATGGAGTGCTGTTATTTATTTATCCAGTGGTGGCCAGAGAGCAGGCATGGGGATGGCTGTGTTTGGTTTTGCTGCTGAACTGACAAATTGAAGGAGGAAAGGAAACACACTCCAATAGGTATCTAAATCGATGTTAGTTTTCGGTGGTGGTGGTTTTGTCAGTAAAATGACGAAGTAGAGAACAGAAAGTTCTGTTCAAAAAAAATGTTGGATGGGGCTGGAGGTAACAGTTTCATTTTGGGTGCCAGGTAAAGGAAAATAAGGGAAATAAAGGGCTCATTTCACAAAAGCACTGGAGAGGTGGCAGCCCTTCTCCCCCTCCCCACCCCCTGCAGCTTTCAATCCGTCCCTCTCCTTCTCTTCCTGTGCCCAAGAGGCAGCAGTGCAGCACCCCACCAGTGCTCAGGGTAAGGACTAGCTCCCATCCATCTCCTCCTTGAGCTGCCCCACGAAGTGAAGTCCGGAAAGGCTTTGCTAGGAAAAGTGTCTGTTTTCAGACAGAATATGCCAACCACAGTGGGCTGGCCTTTTTCATCCCGTTGCCTGATGTAACCCTCTTTCTCCATTTGTCTGCTTTTTTGGGGGAGTGCAGTGCTTGGAGCTGGGCAGATGTTTAGCAGAAGACCTTTCTCCCACCAGTTCAGAAGGACTGATAAGAAGGACAAGCTGTGAGGAACAGGAGTGTTGTCCTGAAGGTGTTTCAGTGGTGCATTTTCATTTGTGAGGATGGACTCATTTGGAGCCAGTAGGGAAAAGCAGTCACAGCCATGTGGTGTTTTGCTGCCTAGGCAGAATGTGGATGGGCAGAAGGGCTGAGCCAAGTTAGCATAGAACATCCATCATCTCTGCATTTCAGTTTGGCCACAAGCTGTTAAACATCCACTGGAGCCTGGAGCCCTTCTTGTCTCCCAGAGCTGAGTGGCAGAGAGGCTGGATGGTGCAATCCTGGCCTGGGACATGCAAATCATGGAAAATCCATGGAGAACTTCCCCCAGGAGTAAAACAGTCCATGCTATGGCTGGGAAAAAACACTTCTAGCTTTGTGTAGCTTTTGTTCCCCTCAACTTCACAGGAGGACCAAATCTCACCTTTGTATATTTTTATTTATTGATTTTGCTAGAAAAAGAATTAGAATTTAAGATCATAACCAAAGGGTTAAGGTGCTGATTGCTGCTGCCTCCCAGGTGGTTTTTCCACACACGAACTAAAAATTCCAGCCTAAGAAACTTTTCCTGGCAGAAGTTTTGTTGAAAGTAGTACATTCCTGAAATGAGGGAGAAGGAAAAGAAAAGATCAGTTGATATTTTCCAGGGAAATATTGATTCCTCTGGCAATTCAGAGGCCGTGGGGTGGGCACAGAGGCTTCAGGAGCTGCTGCTGACCCCCATGTGTGCAAGTGTTGGGTCGACAAGGCTCTTCCATGGGCAGGGAGCATCCCTGCAGCCTCTGTGGGTCCTGGCCACTGTGGACACAAATGACAGCCCTTTGGAAAACTTCAGAGATGTGTGCAGGCTACAGTGCTGAGAAAAAAATAGCAGTGGAAACCCCACTGGCATGGCCCAAGCCACAGACAGCCAAGAATGAGATGTTACAGCTTGCTCAGGGGGGAAAAGAGGTAGATTTGGTTTCCTTCAGTTTCCATACACAGCGCATATGTAAAGTTTCATCCTTCATGAAAAAATCTTGAAGAAAAAGCCTAAATCTTGGTGTTGCAGATAACCCAAGCTGTACATTCAATGTGGTTCAGTGTCCCCATAGGTGAGGAGAAGGTGGGCTTGCAAGGGACCCTGTCTGCTTGTTGGAGAGAGATGAGGCTGAGATATGGAGGGAAACAAGGACTGCCATAATTTCTTGGGGGGAGCTTGAGTTAAGTGGCTCCTGGAAGGAAGGAAAAGGGAAAGGGCAGCCTTTGTCACACCATCTTTTGTAGAAGAGCCATGGAATTGCTCCATACCCTAGAAGAAAATACCTCCAATTTGCTCAGCCCTACCAAGAATGCTTCTAGCATATGGGTTGCAGAAAGAACAGAAAAAGGCATGAGAGCAATTTCTTTCTTTGGGGGAGAGGGAGTCAGGCAAAAATTAATATATTTAATAGGATTTAAAGTTTATTCTTCCTTTAAGAGTGGTAGCAAAAGAAAACCCTAAACAACTCTCTGAAAAGAGTTTATGTCTACAATATTTCTGATTAGACAATTATAGTGACCAATGTGAGTAGGACTGACTGTTAGAGTGAAGTGCCTGGTAAAGCCACAGGAAGCTTTTTTAGTTTATTGGCAACATCACAAACATGTCAGTACTAATGGAGGTGTCTTCTTGGCTATTAAGAAGTGTAGGGCAGTTACTGTGTACCATACAGTAAAAAGAAAGAGCTATTCCCATCCACTTACTTTGGTCCATCATCTCTTAAAGTCAACAGGGAGAACATCATTGACTTGACAAGGGCTCTCTTTGCCCCACACCTGAAGCTGTTTCCATTTGATAATTTCTACCACCAGTGTTGGATTGCTAATGAATTTTTCAGTAATATGCATGTGAAAGTAACACTACCTCAGGGGATGATTAAGTCACCTGGTGTCAGTCTCCAGGATGCAGCTGGACACATCCTGTTAAGCACTGTTCTTCCGTAATTGACCTGAGCAGACAATGTTTATGGTTGTTCCTCACCGATAATTCATATTGGTTACACGGCATCAGTGTGTTCATCAGAGTCTCTTGTGAATCATCAGGCCATGGGGTGGATAGTTGTTACTTTGTTTCCTTGATGAGAGTTTAAGTAACAGGCACAAACAAAAACCCCATTACTGCTTCAAAACACAAGTCTAACAAATACTCAAGTGGTAACGTGAAAGGAAAGGAGATGACAGCTGGAACAAATGCTACTGCAATGTTGATACTTTTCCAGTGGCAACAGGATTTTTTCTTAAGCAGCAAGTAGACCTGGCTGGAAAATGGCATTTCTCTTTTGTGAGCTATTTAGAAGTTTCAGCTTTTGGGTTTGTTGTGATGTGGAGCAAAACCAAGATCTTCTCCAGTTTTTCACAAGAACTAAAAAGAATGAGGCAGGGGCTTGGTGACAGGGACTGAGCCACCACCATGCTGTACCTAAGACTGGTGGCCAAACCCTTGCTCGGTGTGATTAGTGGTGGGGGTTATAATTGTGCCCTCCTCATGCCCAGTGAGCAGTCCTGGCTCACCTGTGCCAGTGGGCAGAGGGGACCCTGAATCAGGTGGACCTGAGCCCTGGATGCATCCAGGTCCTTCTGCAACTAGAGGAGAGACCTGAAGAGGATGTGGGCTGGAAGGTGACCACAGCATCCCACTACACAGTTTGCGGGGAAGGGCAGGCAGCAAGCAGAAAATCAGGAGAAAGCGGTTGGTGGCTGCATTTCTTTGATCTCACTGGAAGATGTTAGATGCCTGTGCCATGATTGACTCCAAAGGCAGAGATCACACCCTCATAAATCAGCACCAGACTCTTGGGTGTAAGGTGACAAAAGAGATTTGTTTTTCTTCTCCCTACCACCACAGAAGGACTTTCACATTCCATTTTATGTGGTAGAAGTGAGCAAGCTTGCAGCTTGCTGTCATATTGGGGTCCCATTTGGTCTACTTTTTAAACATTCCAGCCTACCAAAGCAAGACTTGATTTTCACTCTTTCACCTATGTGAAATCATCAGTGAACATCCATCTATGTGTCTGTCCCAAAAAGTGTGCCATGAGGCCAGCTGGACAGTCAGCCAGGACCCAGGCCCCCCACACTGGCACCTCCTGAAAGCCAGCATCTTTCACTGGCAGAGCTGGGATTGGGGTGTCCAGTGCTGGGCTCCTGCAGCCAGGAAAGGCATGCAGGTGCTGGATGAGCTGGGATTGAGCATGGGCTTGCCCTTGGATGGAAAAATATGGGGCTGGGGGAGATCAGGGCCACAGGAAGCTGCAGGAAGCAAAGGTTCCAAAGCAGCCCTGAACTGAAAGAGGAAAAATGTGAAGCCAGACCAAGTGTGGAATGCCATAACCCCTACAAGAAGTCAGATAAGGAAGGAAGGACAAGGCATTATTTACACAGGCCACTGAGGTGTGGTTTGGTCATTAATTCTTCCCACAGTCACCAGTATCATCACCGCCTTACCAACCCCTTTTCTGCTCTTGTCTGATCCTGGGGAAGCAATTCATTGAGATGCTGTTGGATTCCCTCTGTATTTTTCCTTTCAGAGCTCTGATTTTGTTTACCATAGAATGACAGCCCCAAAAGCAGCTTTCTCTGAAGGGACAGCTGTAAATATTTTATGTCTAACTCAGTCTTCTGAAAAATACTGCAGCTTAAACAAGAAGTTTAAGTGTTTCACACCTGCCAGCAGAGATCCTGCATGAGCCTCCATTGCACTGAAGGATGTACTTGTGTTTTGGAGCAAAGAAGTTTCCTCAGTCCGCCCTGTCCTTCACCAGGGAGAAAATGACATTGATTATGGCTGTGTTGTCTATCAGGGTATCAATGAGACAGAACTCCTCTCTGACTCCCACCACTGAGTAACACAAGTGCTGCCCATCTCCACCTGCCCCACAAGTAACCTCAGACTCTCTGCTGCCTGAGGTTGGCCTGGGACTTATCTCCTTCCTACCATCCTTCCCTTCTCTTCCTGTCTTGGCAAAGATAACCCAGCAGTATTTCTGAATGAAATAGCATTATATGCATGGCACGGTCTGGGCATGGGGACAGGAGACAAACCAGCCCTCAGCCAAGAGACTCCACTGCTACTCAAGAAGCAGCAGTGCAGGAGCCCACCAGTGTTCAGGATATGGGCAATCTCCCAGCCTCATCCCTGAGCTGCCCTGTGAGGTGAAGCCCAGAAAGGTTTTCCTAGGAAAAAGTGTCTGTTTTCAGATAGAATTTTCCAGCAACAGTGGGATGGCCTCTCTCATCCTGTTGATTGATGTGATCATCTGTTTCCATTTGCTCCACTCTTTTGGGGGGTGCTGTGTTTGCATCTG